GTGTCTGTAAATCTGATTTCCCTCTGTGACTTGAGGACAAGCATGTCCTTGTGCTTCTAGAGATTCCCAGCATGCCTAGCTGTCTCTCCCTAAGGCAAGGTCCAAGAGATCAGCATTGGGCATGGGGAAGAGAAGGTTTTCTATAGTTCAGGAGAGGGGGGTTTCCAAATGGAAGATTTGGCAGGGCAAATATGCGGGGTTACAGAAGCGGAGTGTAAGCATAAGAAGCTGTCATAATGACCTCCTGAAACAAAGACAGGGCTGCAAGGTCCTCATAATAAGGTAGTAACAAGATGGTCATAACAACAGGTGGTCATAACAACCTTTTGAAACAAAGTCATGGTTCCCATTTCCTGGAACAAACAGTGCAGAACCATTTGTAGTTATGGTAGCAGGTGGGGCATAGTCCAATCTTTGAGAAACAGAGATTTAATCATAAGCAGGAACGAACCTACTTGTCTTTACTATAAGATGGTTTTCAAGCCTAAAATGGAAGTAGGTTGGTTGATCAACTTCTAGGAACCCTCTTCACAGTGATTTGAAAAGACTCATGGCTTATGTTCTCTAAGCATTTGTTCTTTTCTCTATCAGTAATTTTTTTTAAAGTCTATTTGTAGGCACATTCTGACCTAGAACTCACAACCCCAGCCTCCTCCCCAGGGCTGGGATTCCAGGTGTCTGCCACCGTGCCCACCTCTAAGCGTAGTTCTCAAATTAGAAACGTCTTTCCCTCTCTCCATCTATCCCTCCTTCCCTCACTCCCCCAAACCTGTAGTATGGCCAAAGGAAAAATCAATTTCTTGTGTTGAAATGGCAGTGAGCTAAAGAGGTGGAGGAATGTTAAATTACAGTCTAGTCCAAAATGTGCTTATTTCTAGGAAGTGTTTGGAAGAGAGACACTTTTCAACATTGATTCATGACATGACTTTTGCCACAGGCTACAGCCACTATCAAGTGGGGTTTAGGAGCCCTTAGTTATAGGCTGAGAACTTTCAGAACAGAGGGTTAGAAGCTACCAGACCTTGTGTCTCTACTCCTTTGACAAGTACATATTATCCAAAGCCCCTATGATAGTTAGTTTGGATTGTCTACTAAACACAACCTAGAGTCCCCTAGGAAGAGTCTCAGTGGGGAAATGTCTTCACTGGGTTGTCCTATGAGCCTGCTTCCTATGAGTTGACATAGGAAGACCCACTCACTGTGGACATATACGTATTCATCTATTGCTCCTTGCTTCTTGATTATGGATATATTGGGACCAGCTCCCACAAGTTCTGCTGCTGGGACTCCACTCACAATGATGGACTATAACTTGGAACCGTGGGTTTAAAATAAACCCTTTTGTCTGGATTATTTTAACCTCCAGTATGACCCATCGCAAACCATTCAAGTTCTTTAGCTAAATGCACTATATACTTGCATTTGAAAGCCAAGGAGCCCTCCTCTGAGACACTGTGAGGTCACAGGGTTTGATGTATAATTAAAAATCCAATTCAAAGTCCCATCATTCAGGAACCAACTGATCTTCGCACACAGAAGGGCTTTCCACATTTTAATTACGGGAGGACAAAGCGAGGGTTTGGTACTCTGGCTTCGACATAACGCACAATGAAAAAAGGAGCCCTGGAAAGCCAGAGCTCAGACGAAAGAATGCTGGGGTGCCTAATGCAAGCTTCCCTGAGGGGAGCTCTTGCGGCAGGTCATATCTCAAGTCCTAGGGCACGCAGGAACTTGAGGCTCACCACTCAGCTTTATATTTAAGGAACAGAAGAATGGTCTCTAAGTTTAAACAACATGTGGGGACAGTTTCTTTAGGCTAGTAAGCCTGGGGTTTCTGGTGGGGGGAGCATCTTCAGGAAGTACCCACAGTTAGTCCCTCACAGGGTGCTTTATCTGCTGCTTTGCTAGTATAAGCTAGAATAGGTCATGTAGTATATTGCTTGAAAATTCACAAGGATATGGCCACAACGTAAGGGGGGGTAGCAAATGTAAATATATATGTATATTTCTAATTTTACTTAAAGTTTACGTATATATGTGCTTAACATACCAATATGATGTTAGAAGGAAATGCACAATAATCTTAGAGCATGGAGCGCATGCAAAACTTTAAGAACTTATTTCCATATACTTTTTTTGTACTTTCTAATTTTTCTGCAATTCGTGTATGTTGCTTTTATTATCTTAAAAACAAATATTAAAGCAAGATACCATGTAGACCTCTCCCTAGGAAGATCAAGGTGACATTCTATCCCTTAATCCCTTAGATCCTTAATGTGATCTAATCAATAAAAATCAACTGCCATAGAAAGGAGGAGTACAAGGACTCACGAGTAAATTCTGGGATCATGGGAGTCAAAGTCTAAGTGTAGGCCAACTGCTCTGGGCTGGGCCACCATTTTATCCCTCTTCCTTCTGTGGGAGTGTGGGTACTCCCCCAAGGCCCTCAGCTGAGCACTTGTTACCATTCTCAAGGTCTGGATGGCCCAGAAGAGTTGACCGTAGGAGAGGCTAAGACCCTAGGTTGGCCAAGTAGGGTCTGTGAGCTGTTGGATATGAAGCGTGAACAGGGGAGATGCGGCTGGTGTTTACCCAGTGTAGCTGATTCTATTTCATTGGCAAGTGTGGAGGACAGAATGCCCACAGCTTCTGAGAACACAGCAAGATGGGCTAACCAGGTGGCTCCTCCAGCTGTCTCCTTCCAAGGACAACACTCCACCCAATCTCAAGATTTCTGGAACTCCTACCCCCACTTCAGGTACCGTGTATGAAGACCACACCCAAGTCAGTTTAGTTAATATATTTATTGTTCACTGTGTTGGTTAAGTTTTGTCAAGATCGGGTCATCTGGGAAGAGGGAACCTCAAGAGAAAATACCTCCATCCAATTGGCCTGTAGACACACCTGTGGAACATTTTCTTGATCAATGACTCAGTGATTGATGTGGGTGTCCCACCACTGTGTACCGTTCTATCCCTGAGCAGAGCAGATAGTGCTGAGTTGTGTAAGAAAACAGGCTGAGCCATTTGTGGAGACAGAACAAGTCGGTATGCTTCCTCCATGGCTTCTGCTTCAGCTCCTACCGTGGTGTTCCTGCTTTTGGCTTCCCTCAGTGATGGGCTGATTGGAATGTGTGAATTTGCTTCTGGACATGGTGTTTATCCATTGAGTGTGAATGTGAACTCATTACAGTTGGGAGACAGAGCTGGACAGGCCTGTGCCTGACTTTCGATGGGAAACCTACAGAGTGAAGAAAACCTCACCGGGGGCTGGAAAGCCTGCAAAAGGAACCTGCACTGGGAAAGCCCTGCCTGCCCAGAGTTCATCAAGTGCCATGTCAGGAAGGGGCTCAGGGAGTGGGAGGTAGGCAAGAGGAGCTGGGTGGGAGTTGCCAGCTGTGAAGGGCCACATCCACATGCCCCATTACAAGATGGCGCTGGCATCCGGTTTCACCGCCAGGTGAACGCACATGTGCTAGGTAACTTTCCACTGCTGTCCCGGCCTACTCCCGAGGCATCATCTGGGATTATGGGCAGCAGACCAATCCAAGAGTGACACGTCCGAAGCAAGGACTGTTTCCTATATAAGGGATGGGTTCCTTCATATTTTGGTCCCCGGCCATGTTGGCTGATGCTCTCTCTCTCAGGATGCATTAAAGCTATTTCTGCAGAAGAATCCTAGTGTCCCGCATGGTTCTTGCTGGCGAGACGATAGCGTGGGACAGCCAGCTACTATGCATCAAGCAGGACAAGTGGGCTGCTTTGTCACCAGGATCCTCCAAGGGATGATGGCCGATGCTGATGCTCAGGGGAGAGCAGGAAAGAATGCTCAGCAAGGCAGAGGTGAGCGACAGAGAGCTTCCCAAAGACCCTACAAGCACACCCATGACAGCAACCCAGATCTGGCATCTGCCAGCCTAAAGAGTACAGAGCTGGCTACGACAATGACAAGTGACCGTCCACTGTCCCATCCCTCGCTCCCCACACCCCAACCCCAGGGAGAAACAACAGTTCATGAGTGCTGAGGTAGGTGAGCCTCCAGAGAGGAAACAAGTGGAAAGCTCTGTGCCCTGCACACTTCTCCCTCCCCTTCGTCAGCCCCACTGGTTGGAGATGGGGGACTGAAGCGCTAACCAGTTTGGGGTATAGACCTTCCAATTCCTGAATATGAACTTGACTATACAGTTCTGCACTTCCTGTCTTACAACTTGGAACTCTTACAACTTTAGGTCACTTAGCCATCGTCGGAATGTAAGCAGAACTTGACTTGGTCACAATGAGAAGCAGAGAACAATCTGCCTTCTAGGTCTCCACCTCCTCCAGGTCCTTCAGTGTGACCTGGTCTCTCTCTACCCTTTCTCTCAAGTCCATCCGGGAGCTGCCTGACGCAACCACCCTTCCACAAGACAGCAGATGCAACCTACATGACTGACCCTACAGCTCACATGCTCACCTCTGCAATACCACACCGTGATGGGTCTCCACAGTGCTCGAGCCCACCTGCTCCACACCCAGCCACAGATGCCTGCTGGGTAAAAATCCCTCATGCCCAGCAGAGGCTTCAGCCAACAAGCACCTCTCTGTCTTCCTCTCTCGCCCCCTACTTGCTGTTTGAGCATACTTATCTCAGAAGCATCTCCCCACCCCCACCACTGCCTCATCCCCCCAGGCCCAGCAGGATACACTGCCTACCCTCTCTGGCACATCTGTATCTGGTGCAGGTGGGCCTTCTGTCTATGTGTTATTTTCATTGGTTAATAAAGAGACTGCCCTGGCCCTTTGATAGGACAGAAAATTAGGTAGGCGGAGTAAACAGAACAGAATGCTGGGAAGAGGGCAATGAGGCAGACGCCATGGAGCCAGCCACCAGGTCAGACATGCTGAATCTTTCCCGGGACGAGGTACATAGATTATTAGAAATGGGTTAATCAAGATGTGAGAGTTAGCCAGTATGAGAGTTAGCCAGTAACTAACTCTCTAGAGATAATGGGCCAGGCAGTGTTTAAATGAATACAATTTGTGTGTTGTTATTTCCGGGGCTAAGCTAGCCATGCGGGAGCCGGGCAGGACGAAAAGCAGGCCTGCCTGCAGCTCCTCACTACATGTATCAAACATGACGGATCCGTTATTTTGTGTAGTTTGTTGTGCCACGTCCTCTGTATCTACGTGACCCAACCCTAAGTTCTTTCCTGGTCAGGGCAGGCCAACTTGGAAGAAACAGGTTGGATACAAGCCAACCATGAGGCCCAAGGGTGTCCGCTGCTATCAACTAGCTGTCTAGGGGAGGGGCACCCAGTCACCGGCCAGAGCGCAGGCCTACTACAGTGTGCAGGATAAAAGAAAGGCCCGTGCAGATCATGATTTAAACCCCCAAGAGCTCTCAAAAGGGCAAGCTTAGAACGGTTGTCCCCTGAAACAAACCTCAAAGCCAGATCTGAGGAAAATCCAACATCCTGACTGATCCTGGAATTTCTGGAACTTCATTCAGAGGCACAAGAAGTGAGGGGAGAGCCAAAGTGCTTTGGGACTCGGCCTCAGGAAGGTCCTTGTCATGCATGTGCCTCACGCGCTGACAAAGAACCGCTGGGAATGCGGTCAGCCCACTCTGAGAACCTCACTTCATCAACCACTAAACCTTTACCATGACAGCATAACATGGCCTTCCCATGTCACTGTCAAGAAACTGGGACACAGAGAAATTTAGTCACATGCCCCAAATTCTTATGTGTAGGAAGCGAAGGGGCTTTTAGGAGACCTTCCCTTCAGGTCTCCTCCTTGGGCCAGCTCACACTTCTCCGGGGCTCGGTGGCAGCTCTCCTCTTGCTGCAGGCTTTAATTCAAATGACCAACAGTGCTAAAACTTCCGGTTTGACAGTGATCTTTGAAGGACAGAGGAGAGATCGCCTCAGAAGCTTAGGGGCAGAGCCCTGTACTTTCAGTACTCGAGAGTATGAGGCACAAAGACCACATGCATGTTTCTGGCTAACCTGGGCTACAGAGTGAGAAAGATAGTGTTCTAGCATATGGCTAGCCCTCTCCATAAAAAAGAACCCTCGCTCCAAACAATCTAGTGTGGGCCTGCTCCGGCCTGCTCCGGCTGGCTCTCTGTGAGAGGGTTGGCGCAGTCTTGGGGTGTGAAGATGGTGAAGGGCAGTAGCATGCTTCGAGGAAAGATGCTGACCTGTGTCAGGACGTCTCATCTGGCCCCATCTATCGTCCTAGGACACAGTGTCTGGGCTATCTACAGGCGTTTGGCTGGTAAATGTTTGTTGAAATGAATTTTTAAAAACGTTATTATGTGTGTCCACACACTCATCAGGGAACATATGTTGAGGTCAGAGGACAACTTGGCAGAGTCAAATCTCGCCTTCCGCCGTGTGGGTCCCAGGGATGGAATCCAGGTCGTCAGCCATGGCTGAAAAAGAGCCTTCTCTTGCCATACTGTCCCACTGGCCCTGCTGAAATCAATTTAAAGTAAATTGCAAAGCACCATGCACCAGGAAGCCCAGCTTCTTGCTTCTTGCTAGAGGAGAGGCTGGCAAAACAAACCCAGGTGTTAGCGCTGAAGGGCAGCAGGCGGCCTTTGGGTGCTCCGATCTCGTTAAGAACCTAAGAATGACTTGGTGTGTGTGGGGTTCAGTTGGGATGAGGTAAACCAACGAGGGCCTAGGCTAGTGCTCAAAGTCTCAGGGCCTGGGCATAGTGGGTAACTGTAAGGAACCAGCAGACCCCAACCGGGGGTTCAGATTACTCCTTTGGGGGTTGTGAGTCAGAGTCAGGGTGGGAGCTTTGACCTCCCAACAATGCTGGCTTTGTCTTTCACATTCCCGTGGTGAGAGTGTGTCCTGACTTACATTTACCATTGTCTGCTTTTAGGTGACCTTTGATAGCACCCATCCACATGCTCCCTGGAATACTTCCGTGTGTGTCGCCCTGCTGGGTGCAGGAATTTTGCTAGAGGAGTTGGCCCTAAAATATCAAGATGACATATGATCAAGTCAAGACCACTGCTCAATCTCCCACTCGATGGGAGAGTTCTTTTAAACCTTGGAGCACAGAATGACCTGGCAAGGAGACAATGCCCTTTACCGGAAGTTCAGTTTAAGGTCTTATCACTGGCACCCTGGAACATAAGGCTAGGAAGAGGGAGTCTCCAAGTTGACCTGGGACATTTATACCACTAAGAAAAAAATGTGTATTAGCCAGAAATCGCTGACATGGACCACAGATTGCATCCTGAGACCACGTGAGGAAGTATTCAACACAGTTTTGAAGATAACCCCTAAAAGGCTTCAAGTCACCCAGAAGTCATAGCTCTAGCCTAAACTCCCCTAAGAGAGATCAATGGCCCAGAGAAGAAAAGCCAAAGAAAAGCCAAGTGGAACCTTGGACTCTTCCCTGCCTCTTACGGACATTTTCTTCTCTTCTGCACCTTCTCAAGGATTCCAGGTCAGTGACCTTTTAATTCCAACCACAAGTAATTCCAATCACAAATGTAAGAAAAATATTGTCTCGGTGCGGGGAGGGGACACATTTTGCTAACCTTTGTCACACGGTTTTTTGTGTTTGATAGAGTTGATAAGGGACGGGGCTTTGCTCTCTGTTTGTCAGTACGACAGGAGGTTTGTAACTATTTCCCCACTTAATGTGATTCTTAGCATAACACAGCGTGTTTGGAGGAGAGAATAATACATACCTTCTTGGAAAGACACTTCAAAAATTGGTCAGTTGGTCCATGCCTGAGATGTGTCAGAGTCACCTGAAGGGGTATTGGGGATCATAGTCAGTGCCTCTTAGAAGTCATATAGTGTCCACATAAGTTGTATAGGGTAACTCCATCCAGAGGGAGAGAGACAGGGGGACCGCACACACAAAGCCCTGAGCACCAAAGGCACCTTTCCAGTACTGTGATCAAATGCCTGGGATAATCAGCCTATAAAAAGGAAACATTTATTTTGGCTAACAGTTCTGGAAGTCTCGGGCATCATCATTTGACTTTATTGCCTTTGGGCCCATGGAGAGACAAAGCATCAGATCAGGTGTGTGTATTGGAGTACAGATTTTATCTCACGGCAACCAGAAAGAAAAGAAACAGAAAGGGATCAGGACCCCAAGGACCCCTTCAAGGATATTCTCCAGTGATGTAACTTCCTCCCGCTAGACCTCCACCTCTAGAGGTTTCAACGACTCCCAGTAGAACCCCAGAGTTGTAGCTTTGGAGCCTGTCCTGGAACTGGCTCTTGTAGACCAGGCTGGCCTCAAACTCACAGAGATCTGCCTACCTTCCTCCCAAGTGCTATGATTAAAGGTGTGCACCACCACCGCCGGGCTACAGATGGTCCTCTGAGGGACACTTTCACACCCCAGCACCTCAGTCTTTCCAACAGTTCTCTAGAAACAAGCAAATCAACTTTTGTGTTTCGAGATAACATACATTACACCGATAATGGTCTGTCTCAAACGGTGCTCCGCAGAGAATCCAGGGAAGGCTGTGTGTAGACCTGTGTTCAGTGGGATGGCAGGGAGGTGGGCGGGTCATGCTGGGGGACATGCATGTGAAGCTGGGGTGCCCATGTGAAGCACCTTAGGGAAGCGTGACACTGAGCAAGGAATGGGCCTGTCATCTGTCACATGCACACTGATGCCCAGGCAGCATCTGGACTGATTAGGGAGCCATCCCAGGAGAGGATCAAATCATATACAACATCTATCCATGCCTCTGACTGGAACACCAAGTGGCAGCCATGAGGTTCTGATCAGACAATGCAACAGGACTGAATCCCCCTGCTAAGTAAGGTATCTAAGCAGTGGCCCATCCCAGTGACACTCATTTCCAGCTCTCAGGGTTGCTATGTGAGTACCTATGTGACGGCCATTGGCTGGTTGATTGACAGGTTGCCTGGTGTCCCTGGGTTTCTAGCCTCCCAGTAAGAGTTGCGCCCTCTCAGCTGGCCTCATGTGCAGAGGGCAGGAAGTCTCCCTGGGGCAGCTGGAGCAGCAGTGTACACACCGCTGGAAAATCCCACCTTCCCCCACATTGGTGACAAAGGGCCCAATGTCATCAGGGACCAACAGATCACTGAATAACTTCTGCCCAAAGTGATAAAAAGCTATAACTCCTAACTGCACGCTCAACCCAGAACCACCAGCACCACCACCACCCACTTTTCCTTCCCTGGATCTCAGAGGATCTGACGCTATTGTGGCTTGCTCACTTGTTTCTCCTGGCATGGGAGTTTTACTTCCCGTGCAGAAAGACCAGGACACTCGCAGGTCCACGAAAGCACAGCATGGCTCCCGTGGGTGTCAGTCAGACGAACCTGATGCCAAATGCCACATCTCTTTCTCCTCGAGAAAAAGCACCCCACAAAGTAACAGAGAAGGCTGGACTCACCTCCGTCACACGGGGAAGCCACATCAGGGGGAGCTGTGGGGAGAGAAGAAACGGGCCTGTGGAAGGAAATGGAAAAGCATTTGAAGTGTGCTGGGTCTCCCGGTCCCAGGTCGCCAGCCTACAACCTTCCGCTCCACCTCAGTGTGTTTTGCCTTTAACTCAAAGGCGGAAAGTACTTGGTACAGGGTGTGGGGCTGTCTAGAAGATTAGGAATGCCTGGAATGTTGTTCCCATCTCCCTGAGTTTCTTCGCATCTGAAGCAGAGGCCCAGATGCTTTGAAGCGCTCAGTCAAGCAGGAGGTGGGAGCCAAAGAACGTGGAATGAGAAGAAGCATCCATCTGAGGAGGCCCTTCCACTGCAAAGTACTGTAAAAGGAGTGGTGGGCTGCATTTCCGCCGGGCTAGCTTTACCCGAAATAATTACACAGAAACTGTATTTTTTTAAACACTGCCCAGCCCATTATCTGTAGCCTCTTATTGGCTAACTCTTACATATTGATCTAACCCATTTCTAATAATCTGTGTAGCACCACGAGGTGGTGGCTTACCAGGAGGATTCTAATGTGCGGCTGTCTCGGAGAGGAGAGTCATGGCGACTGCCTGCCTCTGCTTTCTTTCTCCCACAATTCTGATCTGTCTATTCCACACACCTAAGGGCTGGTCTATCAAAAAGGCCAAGGCAGTCTCTTTATTAACCAATGAAAGTAACAATTGACAGATAACCCTCCTCCATCAAAGTACCAGTGAGCCACCACTTCAGGTGTCCATTCAAAACGTATTTGCGAAATTCTCATCAAAACCCAGGTTTTTTATGCCGTAACTGCCAGGCTGTTCTCTGGCTTTAGAGAACTCTGAAGCTGGCTCATGCAAGTCGGAGGAAAATTTCTCATCAGCTCTTGCATCCACCAGGCAGAGGTTCACCCGAAAGACACTAAACCCCACATACCTCCAGCTTGCACACACACACCTGTGGGATTTAGTTGGATCTCCAGGAGGCAATGACAGCTGTCTTGGTGAGGGAGGGGGTTAAAAGTGACTAGTACCTAAACAAAGCACACTGTGCACAGGCAACCAGAGCACACAAGCCAACGAGCCTGGGACTTGAGGCTGGGGAAGCCAGAGGATCTGAAATACCACCTGTGGGAGACTTAGAGGAATGGGGGTACAGGAAAAGTCTGTGCCTGTGTGTCTAAGCAGCAGTTAGCCAGTGTGCAGGGTGCCCGAGAGAAACTCAAGTGACAGTGGACATATGCCGGGGTGGGCAGCCAATGAGATTTTAAAGTTCCCTGTCATTCACTCTGGTTCTACTCCACGGGCTCATTCCAGAGCCTTGCAAATCCCCACCCTTCTCCCAGCGAGGGGTGGTCAGCCTGGGTCTAAGTCTCAAGACTGCCACCTACTGGCTTCGTCACCTACTGCAAGGTTCCTAAACTCACTGAGCCTTGTCATCCTGATCTGTAAAATGGGAGTATGGTTCCACACCTTAGCACAGCTATCACGTTCATCTGCTGTCTGGAAGTCTATGATTCTGATCAATAGAAGCTTTTGTGAGGACTGTGACAGCCGACCCCTGTGTCTGCAGGAACCTCAGGTGTCCCTGGGGGGCGTTAGAGTAGTACGACACCCCTAACGACAGCGTTATGCGCCTATCCCCCTCTGAGAACAAACAGGAAGCTGGGAGGTAGCAAAATGGCCTAAAACAGAAATAAAACCAAGTGGAAAATTTAGCTTCACGTTTGCCCATCTTTGCTCTGGGCACAAACGCTCGGTTAGGAGTCACTCAGCTTGGGCAGAAGGGAAATGAGCGCTGGTGTGCTTTGCCCAGCTGTGCCGTTCCCTGGGACCCAGGAAGGATGTTCGGGAAGGAACGCCCCAGCTTGGGCATGAGCCCCTCAGACAGGTCTCTCAGTTGCCAGTCCTCTCCTCCTCCGTGTGCAGGTGTCTTATTATTGTGGTGGTTGTTTTAAGACAAGATCCAAGGCTAGCCAGGAACCCACGATCACCCTAGCCTGGCCTCCAGATGTGTGTCAGGCCCTACATTAACCTTGAGGACTCATTGCTGAACTTCAAAAGGAAAGCTGCTCAGAAGAGACACACATCCTGGAGCAGGCGGTACAGTGGTTCAGACGTCTGCTCAGCAAACACATTCTAAGCCTAAACAGTGGGCCAAAGTCAAAGGCTTTGTGTGTCTATAGGTCAAATTTTCACTTTAGTTGACTAAGGAAAGAAGTTTCCTTTCTTTTGGTAATTCAAGAGACTGAGATACAGCTCCCACCTACCTCTCCTTTGCCTGTCTTCCACAAGCACACACACATGCACACTCACATACGTACACACATACAACTGGGCACACATATATACACACTTGCACACATACACCTGAGCACACACATGTAACTGGACACACATACTCACACATACATACACCTGAGCACACACATACACCTGAGCACAAACACATGTACATTCACACACATGCACACACACGCACCGTCACATGCATGCACCGTCATATGCATGCACACTCACATGCATGCATCCTCACACACATGTACATGCACACATACACACAAGGCTGAGGGCCCTCCTCTGCATGATATTCTCTGGAAGGTTAAAGTCACCAATCTAGAAGCATCTCAGGCTATGAAGTGGGAGAGAGAATTTCCTCTCATGCAATAAAAAGGCTGCCATCTTCTCTAGGCAGAACTGACCCTTCCCAGGTGAACGTAGTGGGAAGATTCACCCAAAATGGTGACTCTATTTCCCACACCCAGGGACCAGCATGGAGCTGAGTCGTCTCCCTCCAGCAGCCGGCCAAAAAGAGATGCTTGAGAGCTGCCTCTCAGTCTCCTGAATGACCAGAAAGAGCAGGAAGCTCTTATCATTAATTAAAACAGTCTTGTGACACATCACACAATCCAGAAAACAAATGATAAGGTTTGTCTAGATTCTCCCTTCAAAGAATCTAACAGATGACTTTCCTAAAGTAACTTATAGCTCACCCCACAGTTCCTGAAAGCCCCCACTGAGAGTGAGAGCACCGAAATACCTTTCCCCCATCTTTTACTGCTCCCCAAAAGGCTTCCAAGGACTCTCCATACACGCCCCTTCCCTCTCCAGCCCCTGGAGAAAGGCTGTGTCATGGCTGGTTTCATGGCAACTGTCAGAATCTGGAGTTATCGGGGAAGGGGATCCTCAACTGAGAAAACACCTTCATCCAGATTTCTTAATCAATCATTGATGTGGGAGGACCCAGTCCACGGGGATGGAGGGAAACCTGGGCAGGTCGTGCTTTGGGTCATGGTGTTTATCACAGCGATAGAAACCCTTAGACAGACTTCTTGTCCCTTGCATAATCACCTGGGCCAGGGTCTTGGCGCGTGTGGCGGTGGAGCAGAAAAGCCATCTCATTGGGACACCAAGACCACTGCTGTTGCTAGTCCAAAGCCAGTGAAGTCCTGTCTCCACTAGGCACTCCAAGGGCCCAATTTTGTCACGGATTTTCTCAGAGACCACCACACTGCACTGGCCCCGGCACCTTGTGGTCACCTAAGATTCAGACAAGATTATTGCACAGACTTCTTTAGCACCAACTTGGTGCCAAACTGGTTAGGAGATGCAGGCATTGCTGACAGTCGTGTCCACTGTACTTAAGGACTTAAGGTCACAAGGAGCTTTGCCTCCAGTGACCTCTACATAAGATGGGACCGTGTGACCATCTCTCAACGATGGACAGTGAGCAAATATGATGGACATTGCACAGGAGTCCTAAAGGTTCAGAAGCAGGAAGTCCTGGCTCTTTGCTCTCATCCACAGGCTGATTCAGAGGACTCTGTAGCCTTAAGCATGGAAAAGGCACAAAATGAAGAAGTCTGTTTCCAGTGTTGTGAATCACTAAACATGGGAGACTTCCACAGAGAGTGGCATCTCTCATCTCTGCTCTGATGCCATTTCTATGCAAAGAAAACAGATAGAAGGTACACCTCTTCTCTCTCTCTTTCTCTCTCTCTCTCTCTCTCTCTCTCTCTGTGTGTGTGTGTGTGTGTGTGTGTGTGGAGTGTGTGTGATCTTAGTCACTGTCCTACTGCTGTGAAGAGACACTATGGCAAGGCAATTTTTAGGAAAGAATTTAAGTGGGGACTTGCTTAGAGATTCAAAGGGTTAATCTGTGGTTGTCACAGCAGGGAGCAGACGACATGGCGCTGGAGCAGTGGCGAGAACTTCACATCCTAATACTCAGATGGAGAGAGGAACACTGGGCCTGGAGTGGGCTTTTAAAACCTCAAAGCCCACTCCCAGTGACACAGCTCCTCCAACAATACCACACCTCCTAATCCTTTCCAAACAGTTCCGCGAACTGGGGCAAAAACATCCACACAGGTGAGCCTATGAGGGTTATTCTCATTCAACCACCACAGTGTGTATGCTGTTAATTTACCTGACTCATAAAGGGGGCAGCAGAGTTAGGTTGTATTGGCTCCGTAGAACCTGGGTCCCACAAGGGAGAAGTGAGCAAAGAGATGAGGTGAAAACCAGAGGGGACAATCCCTTTGGTGGAAGAGTGTGGCCTGCATGTCACAGTGCTTGGCAAAATTTTGCATAAGTCTTTCTGCCATTTATTTGCCTCATTCCTCTCTCTCTCTCTCTCTCTCTCTCTCTCTCTCTCTCTCTCCCTCTCTCTCTCTCTCTCCTCTCTTTCCTCTCCTTGCTTTCTGCTCTCTCTCCATTCTCTCCCCCCTTTGTCTCTCTCCCCTTTCTATCTGTTCTCCTCTCTTCTCTCTCTCTCCTCTCTCTCTTCTTTTTCTCTTTCTCTCTTCTCTGTCTCTCTCCTCTCTTTTTTCTCTCTCTTCTTTCTTGCCTTTCTCTCCTTTCTCTCTGTCTCTCCTCTCTCTCCTGTCTCTCTCATCTCTCCTTTTTCTTTCTGTCTCTCTTCTTTCTCTCCTCTCTCCTCTCTCTGTTCTATCTTTCTGTTTCTCTCCTCTCTCTTCTGTCTCTCTCCTCTCTCTTTCTCCCTCCCTCTCTCCCTGTCCAAAATAATTTTGAGAGTTACTGTCTCATCTAAGTCGAGTGGGAACATTTTCCACCTGGGTACCTTTGAATGGGCTGGCTAATGTCTTGTATCATGCCAAGCCCCTTTGGACCAAGG